ACTATATGTACTTAATATAGTTGGTGAAATTGTTATTTGTAACAATTTGCTTCTGAGCAGTTACTAAGTGTGACAGCAACATTAAAATTACTATTTCTAATAAACATTTTTTTACCTGTAGACTAGATGCAGGAATATTGTTCTCTTCAGGAAATGAAATATCAGCTGTTGTGACTACTGCCAAGTGTCCAATGTATTTCATTGTCTGTTTTACTGTTTGGTTTACTTTGCTCCATGCTTCTGTTACCATTGAGGATATATCTGAAGAACATCCCTGAGAAACAAAGGCACATCGTTCACTGAAAGCACTTGTGGTCAAAGAGTACATACTTTCTGTAATGCAAGAGTTTGTAGCATGCAACAGTTCAAGGAATTTTTAGCTTTACATCTTTCTAATTACAGTGACTTATCTATCACAGCTAAAAGACTGTGCCTTGCAACCACAGAGAAGAAAACACAATCAAGAAAAGAAATAAAAGCTTCACAAGGCTGCAGCGTAAAAAGGGTAATACTCACTGGCCACCAGTTTATACATTTATAAACAGCAGCACTTCACAGTCTAAACCAGCACTTGCTCTTGCTCCTGCATGTTTTCTTTTACCCTTTTATGAATAAGAACTAATGCTGTTGTCCTGGGCACAGGAAGGTCTGCATTACTCTCAACTAGCACATGGAAGTACCAATTTAGCCAGAAAAAAGCACACCTTCCTTAGGTGTGTCCAGTTGTCATTGCATGCATTGGACATTTAAGTATTTTTAGCAAGTCTGTAGTAAATACTCCATTAATGCACAGAAGTTCTCTATACACAGAAGAATTCTTTAATATGCTTTACCTGCAACAGTAACTGTAAATAACCTCCCAAGTTCTTTATTTCCCGTTTCATTTCTTCATCAACTTTTATAGATCCAGGACACTTTTGGACATTGTTAAGCCAGAGCTTGCTTAGAACCACAATCTGGTCAAAAGCAGAGATAATTCTGATGCTGTAGGACTGAGCAGCAGGATCAAGATTGAAAACTGCAAGAGAAAGACATCTATCAGATCTATCTCCATGGCAAATTAATGGAGGAATGTTAATTCTTGTGAGAGACAAACAGATGAATGCTTTTGAATCTCAAAGTCATTAGTAATGTTTAAACTCTTATGAAAATGAGACTTACAGTTTTCTTGACATTCTTCATCTTGCTGTTCATAGGCTTTTGAAATGGCAGACACTCCAGAAAAAATTATAAACAAATTAGTTAGGAGACTGTCTGCTATGCTTTTTCCCACTTCATGATTCTGTTCCAGTAAATCTAAAGCTGAACTTATAGATTCCTTGCAAATTCCAGGAAGAAACGATTCAGGAAAGCTTGGGCATATGCTGGACTTGTTCTGTGAACCTGTATGATGTAAAAGCAAAACATACATGCAAGAAACTCTTCACAGGAATGCACAGTCAGTGTGTCTAAGCAGTAGTGACTATTTAATCTTAACAGTCATCTACTCAAGATTGTAAGTCAGGAAAAAATGCATATACAATATCCTAAATACATTCTAGATTCAGTTAGTACGAATACAAATTCAACAGTGAAATTCTTTAACATGAATCCATCTGTTTCAACAATCAAATCTACTGAGAAACAGAAGATAAAACCCAGCCAATCTAAAATAACTGAATGCAAAAAAATATTTGGAGCATCCTGTATTTCAGAAAACAAGTTTGTAAAACCTGGAAAAAGCTTGGGGAAACCTCAGTAGTTGAATGAATAGCAACAACTCAAGAAAACAAAGTCTCCAAATTATTGTATCAGGATTCAACCTTTTTCTCCAGTTAACCCATGTAGTTACACGGAGTAATGTTTTAGCCAAGTTTCTTAAATAAGGTTCACAGAGTGCTGGTCAGGAAGTTTTTGCCCTAAGAAAGTGTAATTAAAAATACAAAAACCCCTACTGTTAACAGCTTGACATTAAAAATTTGAAGATATCCCAAACAGGATATTTTTAACTTTGCTTTCCAACCCATGCTGCTTTTTTAAAAAACTATTACAAATGCCTATGTTTTCTGCATGTATTAGGTTCAAAATCTCAGTATGAAATAGAAGGTATTCTGCCATATAGCAAGTACCTGATATATAGGAAGTCTGTATATTCTGAATGGGTTGCAATTTTATCTCCGACAAACATCCAGAAATTCTCTTATTCTTCATGAAACTTCTACTTCTAAGAAAGGATGATAAATAAAAACATGACAAAATGTCAAAAGAAAAGAATCTCTCTCCTCATACCCACTGAAAGTTCAATGAATATTAACAGACATCAGGCAAACAAAATAAACATCTAATTAATGGAACTTCTGAACACAGAACCTAAACCAGAGTGAAAGCAAGTCAATACAGCCCATAGAATGGATCCTACTTATTTTCTTCAGCCTCTTGCTACTATAGAGGGATCTTCATTCCATGAACTCATTTTTAATCTAATGTCCTCTACTACTGGATTATTGTAATCCAGAACTAATTGTCAGTGGTCATACATAAAACCCTCTGGCACACGCTGCACATATTCCACACCTGACCTCAGAAACACTGCTGTTACATCTACCAAACTGCTTCCTGGGCACATAATTTTTACCAGCAACATGTTGCACACCAATACACATTTCATAAGTGAAGCCAGTAGAGCATAAGGTAACATATTTAGTTTCAACTTTCCCCTCCTCCTCACAAATACAAATTAAATCAAAATTTATGGATATAATTGACATTATAATAAGGTAAAAGAAGAATTAATAAATTACTATGTTAGTGACACAAAAACATATTCAGATAATTACACAATTTTGTGCTTTAAGTGTAGAAGAAGAGCTACAAATTAGTATTACCTTCTTCTGGAAAGAGAGGAAACTGAGGTGCCTAAAAGGTCAGGTTCCCACTCATCAGCAGGATCATAAAACACATCAGCAGCTTTATTTCTATCATTACTCTGAAAAAATAAAGAAAACAAAGGGGAGGAAGAGAGTTAAACAGAAGTAAAGTGACAAAGAACTCAATACATAGATGAAGACAACATGTTCTATTAACAGGAAAAGGGTAGCTTTAATGTTTTTGCTTATTTTCAGATATATATGTTTTACTGCTTCTTACTCAGTACAAAAAACAACCTGAATAAAGTCATTGATTTCTACTGTCCTCTTGCTGTTTGATGAAGAAATGCATATACATGTGTCTTGGCATTTAAGATGACACAAAACCCCCAAAACCTCAAAATTTTCCTCCTGCATAGATTACCAAAATCTTATCTTTGACAAAGTATTACTGATTATTAGTGTTTATTCTTCAGCTGTTACTAACCTCATAGAGTTCTTTCATTGCTGCTAGTTTGCATTCAAATTTCTCTAGACTCCAAAAAGTTGCTATTCCCAGCTTGATGTTACGAACCTGCACCTGAACAGAAGACACTGCTCCTGTTTTATCATCAATTTTGTCATGCCTAAGAATGTGGGAGAGTTAAAAGACACATATAAAGACAAAACACATTATTCATATTGCAAAAATAAACAAGATACTTGTTTATTACATAGAGAATAAAAACATTATACAAGTTTCTTGAGACATCATGTATCTAACCAAACCAACATAAGTATAGCTGTTAAAGTTACTTTTATGCAAAGGAAAAAAGGAATCCCTGCATTCAGAGGCAGAAGTAGATACTAGCATACAAATTCCTGGCTCCCAAGAAATTCAGAGCCAAATATATGCTACAGAATTCTACTAGCAGAATTCTTCTTGAAGGAAGTGAAAATATAACACCTGGAAAAACAGTAAACATACACCTCCTATTTTACCTGCATTTACTGTAGCAAGTGTTTTAAATGATACAGCATTTGCTCTGCACTAATACATCTCTGCTCATGCTAAGAAGATCTGAACAACACACAGGTCCACTTCCAAAACGTTCTTCAGCTACAGCTATCAAGTAGCCTGGCATAGCAAGAGATCTGTGGAGTGAAATAACTGGTCTCAAAGGCTCAATATCCACTGAGCTTTTTACTTTGAGCTACCCCTGTTCCAGGCCTGTGAACTGAGCACCTCCTGGTGGCTGGCACACAGGGCTCTGTTCAGTTTTGCTTTTAAGGAACATAGTGTTCTTTAGGACCACTTCAATATGTGGACATGGGCATCAGAAGATTCACCTCCAAAGCACATTCAATCCAAAATTACTTGGCTGTGGACATACCTTTGAAGTTGTGATCTAAAATTCAAATTTGAAATTCACATTTCAAAGTAACAAGGCTGAACTACACACTTAACTAAAGTTAGTTTGCAAAGTTCATTTATCATGTTCGATTTCATAAGACTGTTAAAAGAAAAACCAACAGCTCCCTGCATATTCACCCCCAGTTATAAATATGTATGTTATCTATACACAACCCCTTAAAATTAACTAACTCAGATACTCACCTGCAGAAAACAGTGTTTTTCCCTAATGCATTACTAATGGTGTTGGCCTCTTTGACCATCACTGACAGCTTCAGAGACTTCCAGTTAAGTGGACCTATAAAGAACATAGAACATAATGCTTAAGTGGACCAAACAATGTGATGCAACAACTTTAGGGTTAATTAAAACAAAAAAAAAAAGGCGAAAAAGAAATCAACCCAAATATTCCATGAATTCCCAGTACATTGGGAAAAAATTACCCTTCCAGGCAAGATAACCCTTTCAAAAGGTCAGATAAAGGGTATTTCAGAAACAGAGGCGTAAGACCAAACACTACATATTAATCTGTGGTAGAAAACTAAACAAAATTAACTCTGTTACTCCAGTTTCCCCAACGAGTTAATGCTTGACCAGTTCAGACAGAAGGGGAAGGACTTTCAAGCAATTGGGATAAATACAGACTACATGGATATCTACCTAACCACCCTGAGTATGATTAAAACAGAGCTTTTAACACAGTCTGACAGATACAGCTTATGAATAGAAAAGCTTGTAACAACCAGGAAGGGTCTTGTTGTTTAGGGAAGTGTTAGGGGAACAGAAAGACCTCCTGTATCTGTATCCATGGCCCAAGCCCACCGAGCAAATGAAAAGTCAGCATTGTCTTTGCAAAACATATATACAAACTTGTCATTGTTCTATTCCCACTCCCACGGTTCTTCTGAAGGGTGTGTATTTCT